ATTGCTTCCCATCGAGCTTTTTCTTCTAATATCCATTTCGCTTCTGTATTGTGAGTGACTTGAGTCTCCCAAATATTTGACCAAAAGGATTCTAACTCCTCTTTGTTCGGTGTATCATGGTGTTGTCTATCTATGTTGTCTGCTGTTGTGTTTCTTAAGCCTGCATTTAAATTTCTGTATCAGGCGTGACAACGCATCTCCATTTTGATTCTTGATCGAGGACAAATGTAGGTGACTATGGGCCACAGCATCCACTTGCCTAACCTTGCTATCCTATATAAAAAATTGCGGTTGCCAATTGGCTTGCCAAGCGTCCCAACTATGACAAATATTACCCATATGAGGCAATCTATGGGGGAGGCCTATGTTCAACAGTGGACTATAAAAATAGGCTTGTAGGTAATGGATGGATGTATAGAAGATAATCTACCAGGAGCACATGACCCACTGAAAGGTGAAATTTTCAAATCAACAGTAATATTACAACTATAGCAAATATCCCCCTATGAAGAAATTTATGGGGGAGGCATATATGTTCAGGAGAGGACTTCAATAGGTTGTAATGGATGGATGTATAGAAGATTATCTACCAGGAGCACATGACCCACTGAAAGGTGAAATTTTCAAATCAACAGTAATATTACAACTATAGCAAATATCCCCCTATGAAGAAATTTATGGGGGAGGCATATATGTTCAGGAGAGGACTTCAATAGGTTGTAATGGATGGATGTATAGAAGATAATCTACCAGGAGCACATGACCCACTGAGAGGTGAAATTTTCAAATCAACAGTAATATTACAACTATAGCAAATATCCCCCTATGAAGAAATTTATGGGGGAGGCATATATGTTCAGGAGAGGACTTCAATAGGTTGTAATGGATGGATGTATAGAAGATAATCTACCAGGAGCACATGACCCACTGAGAGGTGAAATTTTCAAATCAACAGTAATATTATAACTATAGCAAATATCCCCCTATGAAGAAATTTATGGGGGAGGCATATATGTTCAGGAGAGGACTTCAATAGGCTGTAATGGATGGATGTATAGAAGATAATCTACCAGGAGCACATGACCCTACTGAGAGGTGAAATTTTCAAATCAACAGTAATATTACAACTATAGCAAATATCCCCCTATGAAGAAATTTATGGGGGAGGCATATATGTTCAGGAGAGGACTTCAATAGGTTGTAATGGATGGATGTATAGAAGATAATCTACCAGGAGCACATGACCCACTGAGAGGTGAAATTTTCAAATCAACAGTAATATTACAACTATAGCAAATATCCCCCTATGAAGAAATTTATGGGGGAGGCATATATGTTCAGGAGAGGACTTCAATAGGTTGTAATGGATGGATGTATAGAAGATAATCTACCAGGAGCACATGACCCACTGAGAGGTGAAATTTTCAAATCAACAGTAATATTACAACTATAGCAAATATCCCCCTATGAAGAAATTTATGGGGGAGGTATATATGTTCATGAGAGGACTTCAATAGGTTGTAATGGATGGATGTATAGAAGATAATCTACCAGGAGCACATGACCCCACTGAGAGGTGAAATTTTCAAATCAACAGTAATATTACAACTATAGCAAATATCCCCCTATGAAGAAATTTATGGGGGAGGCATATATGTTCAGGAGAGGACTTCAATAGGTTGTAATGGATGGATGTATAGAAGATAATCTACCAGGAGCACATGACCCACTGAGAGGTGAAATTTTCAAATCAACAGTAATATTACAACTATAGCAAATATCCCCCTATGAAGAAATTTATGGGGGAGGCATATATGTTCAGGAGAGGACTTCAATAGGTTGTAATGGATGGATGTATAGAAGATAATCTACCAGGAGCACATGACCCACTGAGAGATGAAATTTTCATATCAACAGTAATATTACAACTATAGCAAATATCCCCCTATGAAGAAATTTATGGGGGAGGCATATATGTTCAGGAGAGGACTTCAATAGGTTGTAATGGATGGATGTATAGAAGATAATCTACCAGGAGCACATGACCCACTGAGAGGTGAAATTTTTAAATCAATAGTAACATTACAACTATGGCAAATATGCCTATGACGCAATCTATAGGGGAAGCCTATGTTCAGTGGTGGACTTTGATAGGCTGTAAAGGTAAACGAGAATGTTAAAAGGCCATCAATTGAAAGCCATAAGATCTTGTTAGCATATCTCATCCTTGTTACGGCACCCACGATACTGAATCCTTTTTTATAATTTATTTATGATATTGACTTCTACTATATTCATCGGGTATAAATATAAATAACTACTGTAGTTTCTTTCTTTGTTTTTCACGCGAATTCTCTTCGAAATAACGCACAACTTTTGATCTAACTACTTCCCTTACGATTAAAGTTAGACTACTACATTGTGGACTTCTTCGAAATTGTTTCCATATACCCGACAAATTGTTACGGACTAAATGCGAAATGTATTTGGAAACTTTTAAGTAAGTTGTAAGTTCAGCAATAAGATATTATAGGTTGAATTGTATGTTTGTATTGTCAAAATAACAGCTTTTAACTAAATGCATATGGAAGGATATATTGTATTTATAACAGAAACACAATTTTTAATAATTTTGTCTGTCTGTCTGTCTGCTTCTTTCGGCTAATCTCCGAAACGGCTAGACCGATTTTGACGGGACTTTCACTGGCAGATAGCTAATTTTATAACAAGTAATTTAGGCTACTTTTATTTTAGAAAAGAAATTATGGTTCCGCGCAAAAAAATTAAAACCCATAAAATCCAATCGTAATAAATTCCACGCGGGCGAAAATGTTAAAGAAATCACAACAAAAACTGATAAATTGTGGATATATACAAGCAAACTTCCATATTAGACTTTTTCTTTCCCTTACGGCAAAATTATCTTTTTTTTTATAGGATAAGGGTGACAAACGAGCACACAGTCCACCTGATGGTAAGTGGTTGCTGTGGCCCATAGACATCTACATTTATCCTCGATGAGGAATCAAAATGAAGATGCGTTGTCACCCGTGAGGACTAAGATGGAATGCCTCGTTTCCAGTAAAAAGGGTCTCCGGTTCTCTACACTCACCATACGAAACACGGCAGCATTAAGCTGCTATTTTACGCTGGTATTCTGTGAGAGCGTGGTCCTTCCCCGGTCGAGCCGACCCATTCGTGCTACAACTATACGACTAACATAGTTGCAGCATGGCTCAGCCACGTAAAATTGTTGTATTTGTTAATCAATAATATACTACGAAAGGAACTTCATTCCAACCGAGTGCTCCACGACACTCACGCATGTTTTTATAGACTTTAATTAATATTCGATTTAAAATAAATATCACTCTGCAATAGTTATGAAAATATTAGAGTTCAAATTTGAAGCTGAAATGTTTATGACGTAGCAAAACTTCTATTAAAGAACTAAGAAAAGTTATATCCATCAAGAGGCCTTGTATTTCCTTCGAGCGATCAGCAAGAAAATGTCTTATTAGATATGTTTCAGATTGCTACGATAGAGCACGTTCTAGGCTCCATCGTAATGCTTCCATACTCATCGCACAGAGTAGGTAGTGCGATAAAAAAATTCTTTTTAGACACTATAAAATCTTGCAGTCAGGGGAAAATAAAAACAAAATTGCATTTCTTTTTTAACACGCATTTATTAGCTGTGCATGTATGTATCTATCTATCTATGTAACGTAATCTGTTAATGTAATTTTCATCCCAGTATCCTGATCAGTATCATGAGGCTTGCAAATTGTTTAGCTAAAATACAAATATTTTTCGCTGAATGGCCGAATCAATTAAATTTAAAAAAAAAGTATCGTAGCAACGTGAAATGAAAGAGTTTAGAAATAAATGACACCTCATTTTAAAGACCACATTCTATTATTTACTTTAGTCATACATATTTGGCGGTAAAGTGGAAAATTTCTGAGAAAACTAAACTTTGAACAAAAAACATTGATAAATGATGAAAAAATTTTCATATTTCGTGGTAGATTGCACGGAAACTATAAGTGATATAGCTTTTGTATGTATAAAAGGTTGGTAGAAAATTAATCAAGGATTATTTCGTACCTGCACATTTTTCACGTACCTTGTACGGTTTACTTTAAAACTGGAAAAACTGCGCTTCGAGACACGTTCTTGGGCGCGGAGCGGTGATGCTCACACGGGAGGGGGAGGTAGAGGGAATAAAATTTAACTTCGCTCTATAACGTACATGAGATTAAAGTAATCCATTAATTTTGCCAATTTTTCCATACATTGCTATATAGAATGCTTGAACTATGATACGCGCAACTTACTACAAAATAATGCTACAGAGTAATGTGACGATTGAATGCCTTAAAGGCTGCAATGATACAGTTTTTCATCCTTATTTAATATTAATAATAATACACCTATATTTTCTGCCGACTTCCAAAAAGGAGCCGGTACTCAATTCGACTGTATGTTTTTTTTTTCGTTTTTTTTTTTATGTGTGTTACCTCAGAACTTTTTTCTGGGTGAACCGATTTCGATGATTCTTTTTTTATTTGAAAGCTGGTACTTCTCGTGTGGTCCCATATGAATTTGATCAAGGTCAGACCAATAGTTTTTAAGTTATTCTTAAATAACTTATATTGAAGTCGGCTGTACAAAATTTTTAATTTTAAATTATTTTATTTAGAATCAAATTATCCACCCATGGGGACTGAGATAGAAAGCCTCGTTTCCAGTAAAAGAGTCTCCGTTTCTCGACACTCACCATACGTAACACTACAGAATTAAGCTGCTATTTCACGCTGGTATTCTGTGAGCGTCTCTTATCTTTTTATGTTGTCTTGTTTTTCTATTTCTGTGTCAGATTGCGTCTAATCTAAGTTGTTGCATGCATTAAGAAAAACTAACAGAAAAAAAAACAGTTTTTAAAGATTTTGAAGTTGCGAATAAGCAATATGATTCAAAATGGCGGTCGTACTCACTCTGAAGCTGATAGCTCCGCTGCAGTTCACGTCGAACGCCTTAAACACGTAGTGTGCGTAGAGAGCAGAGTCTGTAATAGAACGTCAAATTTAAAAATCCCATGGCTCGGTGTTTGGAGCATCTAAGTATTGAATAAGTTTTATTTATTTATTTTATTTATTTCTTTATTTATTGGCTTCATATCTTTAAATATCACACAGGGTTATTTTTCAAAGAGTAGCCAAATTTTAAACTTAAGTTGAAATATATAAATAATGACATACCGTTAATGCAGTTATTGAAAATACGAGTAAATAAGGCACCTACTTTATTTGAAATTATCCCAAATTGAATGCGATTTATGGGCATCAATGTTTTTGCCTACTAATCAACCCTTACGAATGTGTGCGTGCGCAGTAAAATCAGTTAGAATAATACATTACCACGCATTTTGAAAAGATAAAAAGGACAGAATGTTAGAGATTTTTTCAAATTAATTTTTCTTCACCATTGGCCTATATTACTTATTCTGAACATTCTCTGCAAATTAGGTCGATTATTGCAAAATAACCCTGCACCCTGCAAAACAACAGCCATCGAAGTTATTCTAAGAAGTTCTATGCACTTACTTCCATGTGGAAAGAATTTGGCGTAGATGTCCTTAAAAGATTCTTCATGGACCACTCCCTCCGGGCACTCCTAGAACAAAGAAAAGGAAGCAAATTAGTGATCTAGATTAATGACTAAAGATATTACAGGCTGATTGTCGACACTGCAGTTTTTTATTTCTCTTAAATGTCGGTTTATTATTAACTTTTTTTTTCGAATAAAGATGACTAAAGAAATATTACAGGCTGATTATCGACACTGCAGTTTTTTTTTTTTCGAATAATAATGGCTAAAGAGGTATTACTGGCTGATTATCGACACTGCAGTTTTTTCTTCTCTTAAATGTCGGTTTTTTAATAATCTTTTTTTTCGAATAAGGATGACTAAAGATATTACTGGCTGTTTATTGACAATTCAGTTTTTTTTTCTCTAACTCTTTATTGTCGGTTTTGCTTTCGGTAAGCATGTACAGACGTTGTTACTGCGCCTGATCTCTCTCCAGTTGTGTCGAATTACCGTCCCAACGGACTATGCGAGTCAGGGAATAGAAAGTGCTGGCGCATACACTCGTGCACAATAATCGTGTCCTGCGTAGATGCCTACTCTCCTTTGAGAAGGGCTGCAGTGACCGAAATTCGGAAGACATTATATAATACATATTTAAAGTATTTCTTTATAAACCACTGGTTCTGAAAGTATTTTTTTTTATAGCATAAGTGTGATAAACGAGCACACAGTCCACATGATGGCAAATGGATGCTGTGGCGCGTACACGTCAACATTAATCCTCAATTAAGAATCAAAATTCAGATGCGTTATCACCCCTGAGGACTAAGATGCCTCACTTTCAGTAGAAAGGGTCTCCGGTTCTCTACACTTAACATACGAAACACAGCAGCGTTAAGCTGCCATTTTAAAAGAAATGTGGATTGGAGCAACGCGGCGGGCGCTTCCTTGCCCTAAAGCCCTCTCAGAAACAAAAGGAGGCCTCTGCCCAGGAGTGGGATTTATATAGGCTGTAACTTTTAACTTTGAACTTAATTTAGTAGTACATATCATCATCATCATCGTTATAATTATTACATCCCCTAGAGTGACGTGACCTGGCAAGACATGCAGGAAGTCGATGGATGCAGGTGGCTCCACGACCTCGCGTTGGATGCTGGTGGCTTAGAATCTTGCGTTGTGGTATTCTTTATGAAGGCCTATATTCAGCAGTAGTATGTATATTCGTAAATAATAATCGAAAATATTTTATTAAAGCTAAAATTTTGCGCAATACACGAGAAACAAAATAAAGCATTCCATAAGGATGGGCAAGTGAAAAAATATATATAGATACATATCGTATCGATATTTTTAATCTGTATCGATATACATCGCGTAATATTTAATATATATTGATATATCGTCATGTTTTACATGATGACTTGGGGCCAAAATTTTATTACTGACGGTTGGACGATGAAAAAAAAATGACAACAGCACATGAATGCTTTTGTAGCTGCTTTGCATAATGTTTGTCGATTAATACAACATTAAGAAATACAATGATTTCTTATATTTACGCGAACACTACACATTGAATAAAACTACTTTTACGGATTTTATCGCATTTAATTATCTTATTTTTCTTATTTTTATTAATTCCCGATGTTTCGGGTACTTTCCAGTACCCATGGTCACGGGGGACTGAGGTGATTGACGTCTTGAGGTGGGAAATTAATGAAAATAAGAAAAATAAGTTAATTAAACGCGATAAAATCCTTAAAAGTAGTTTTATTCAATTAAGAAATATATGAAAATTGATACGAATTTGATACTCTAAAATAAATGCCGAATATCGATATTTCGATATATCGATACTTTTTACCAAGCTTAGCAACCAACAAACTATAAAACTAATAACAATAAATTCCTGGTGCCTGCCTACGTTAAAACAAAAGATGGCAGGAATTCCCGTGCGAACTTAAGACGGCAATTCACGCTAAAATATCACGTTCTAAATGTCACAATAACGATCCTACACCACTACTAATGTTTGTCGAAAACATTACGTAATGCCAAGTTAAAATTTTTAGATGTGGTTTTGTAATAAAATTCTGTAAATTTAATCATTCTGACTGTATTTTACGTGGTAGAACCATACTGCAGCTACATTAATTGTATAGTTGTAGCACGAATGAGTCGGCTCGACCGGGGAAGGACCACGCTCTCACAGAATTCCAGCGTAAAATATCAGCTTAACGCTACTGTGTTTCGTATGAAGAGTGGAGAGGACCGGATACACTTTTTACTGGAAAAGAGGCATTCCACCTTAGTCCTCACGGCTGACAACGCATCTGCATATTGATTATTTATTGAATCTATGGGTCACAACAACCACTTACCATCAGGTGGACTGTGTGCTCGCTGGTCACCTTTATCCTATAAAAAAATGTCGGTCTATACAATCGCAGTATTTTTAAATATAAACAGGACGAATAGAATTAGAAGCTTCAATCATAACCTTTACGTTCTCTGGTGCATAACAAAATTACTCTGACACCGTGACAATAATCACAACAGTTGAATGAAATTATGTGAAACTAATTGGAATGAAATGATATAACATTGTAAGACATTAGAATGTACAGCTAAAAGCAAATTAAAAGCTTTAATCCCACTTTAGATGTAAGAAATTATTCTCAAAATTATTTAAATAAACCTTGCTATCAGAAACTATTACGGAGTCCAATTGTCAAAAGTAACAAAGGTGTGAGTGAGAGCGTATGCTCAACATGCTCTCCTGCTTACGCAACCAATCATAATTATAATAGAATTGCGCACTTCACCATACATATAGTAGAGAGCAATACAATTTGCCCAACCGTAACGTGTTCCTGCCACAATCACACACCGGTGTGACGTGAAGGACCCAATTACATGATAACACCAAAGTATACAAATTAACAGCATCTATACACATCACAATGTAACACATGGCAGCCTTTCAGCAACACGACCTTCCTTGCCTACACTAGTAGAATACCCCAACGGGTATAGTAACAACAGTGTGACTCTTAGAATTACCGACATATACAATCATCTATGTACCGACTGATCTCTCTTAGGTGCCCATTACACAGCAGGTTTTGCTGTCAGATTTACAACTATCACAGCTGTGATTGACGAATAACCTACCGTGTAATGCGGTGATTGACATTTGCATGACATTGATTGACAAATATCTGGATATTTTGAATTTTACGTCAATCAACTATCAGTCACGAATTTTGATTGAACGTGTAATGGCATTTCGTCAATCACGCATCGCGTTGCTCCTAGCTTTTCTTCGGGAGTTAGCTTTTCGCATACATGTATCTTGTTTTTTTTTAGGTATGGTGTTACCAAGACCAGTAACTTATTAAAACAAGCCTCTTTCATGCGAAAATAATTTGCATAGTCTTTATCCTCTGTTGAAATCCGTATCTCAAAAACTTAACATGGGTTTTAGAAATCCCTTTTTAAAAACCAATATTTTACCCAGCGCCTTCTTTTTATACGTTTTTACACAAAATTTCAATTGAAATTGCAGCACAGGCCTTAATTTATGAATATTTTTTTTTAACCTTTCCCTCTGAAATTTTGGGTTTGACTGACGATCAGTCAGAATGAACGTTTAATGTCGAAATTATTCTCTCATTCAAATATCAATCATGATTGATCGAACTGATTGACGCTTGCCTAGGCGTGTAATGGCCGCTATAGGCGCCTGCGAGATATCTTATACTGCTAAAATGAGTGGTTGATTACAGTTCTACCTTCATTTCTTCGTATTTTCGTTTATTTTTTACCGTCCCTCCAAACAATATATTTATTTCGGGTATTTAAGAAATAAATATTTCATTTTGCATTTTTCGAAGATAGTTTTTTTTCTCTCCAAATACGTTTCGCTGACCGTAGAGGAAATGGCGAAGAAAACTTCGCAGTATTCCTCTTTTCCCGAGCATATCCGCCTAAACAAGCAGCACCTGTTTACAATTTTTGAAGCGAACACTTTTTAGCCGTGTTGAGCGATTTTTGATAGGGGAAAAAACTTATCGGTTCGCGTCACCGATGACCACGACATGCTAGTGATGTATTACGCGCAAGTGCAATACGTCACGAGCATATCTACTACGCGTCGCTAGTCACATATATCATTGACTTTTCACTTCTGTCGGCAGTCTTTACCTTTACCTCCGTTTTTTTTTAACAAAATTTAAGTGACATACGAACTTACAGTCTATCTGATGATAAGTTGCTTCTGCAGTGCATTAATACCATCAAACAAAAAAGGCTACCGATGTGTCGTCACCTTTGAGGACTAAAAGATCGTATGCACAGACTAACTAGTAGATTTTACATGGTATGTCACTTTTTTTTAAACTGGCTTTACGGCTCTGGGTTCTAGCCCTTCCGAGCCTTGGTATGTCCGGAGTGCGCAATTATGCTGGCTCTCAATACTCTTCAGTCTGGAACACGGCAGTTCATGCACTGATATACCTACTTAGTTGACACTTTGGCAGGAAAGGAATCTACGAAATAAAGTATGACTACTATGGCAAACGTCGCCTATACCAAAGGAGGGAGAACAAAGAATGCTGAAAGAACATTTTCGCCTGTCAATACTATTTTTTTTTATATAGAAATAGGGTGACGAACGAGCACACAGTCCACTTGATGGTAAGTAGATGCTGTGACCTACATCTATCCTCAACTACGAATCAAAATTCAGATGCGTCATCACCCGTGAGGATAAAGATTGAATGTTTCGTTTCCAGTAAAAAGGGTCACTGGTTCTCTATACTCACCATACGCAACACAGCAGCGTTAAGCTGATATTTTACGCTGGTATTCTGTGAGAGCGTGGCCCTGCCCTGGTCGGGCCGATCCGTTCGTACTACCAGTAATATAGCGGCAGCATGCCGTATATTACTACGATAGAATTCCTCACACTTAACCGTGTAGTGGCGGTGTAAGAATATCCACTACCCCATATCGTCCCGTGGGTGTAGTAAGAGATGATAGAGGGAAACTGAAACAGGAGATGAGCAGCAGCATCTTCC